GCAAGCGCAGGCGACGCCTCCCTGAAACAAGAGATCAAGGTAGTCAAGAAACCAGTCCAGCTACGCCACCTGACTGAGTTGATGAAAGCATTGTCAAATACAAATCAGAGAGACCTAGTAGCACTCACAATTGCCCTAGTTGCCTTCTGGGGTATGGCACGTATGGGGGAACTAGTATCGAACAAGAAGACAAAGCGTCAGATCATGGTCAACGACGTCCTCCTGGCTGAAGACGACTCACATATGAAACTTGCATTATTCGACGCGAAGACAGCCAAGCCAGGAGAGATACAGTGGCTACGCCTCCAACGTCGTCCCTCCCTACTCAACCCAGTCCGCCTGATATGCCTCATCACCGAACAAAACAAAAGCTCGCCCAACAGCCCACTATTCTCGTATTTAGATGAACTCGGAGAGCGGAAGACGCTATCAAAAACAGAAGTTATGACTATCTATAAGAAGGTGTGGAACGAAAATGACCCTAACAATCAGCTTACCGGCCACTCCTTCAGAGTATGAGGGGCATTGCTTCGATGGAACGATGGCAGGCCATTAGAAGAGATTGTGAAAGTGGGTAGGTGGGAATCGAAGGCCTACCAGTTATACCTGAGGACGTACACAGCAGACGAGAAAGCTGACGCGAAAGTAGTGTGGAAGGCGGTAGCGGACCCGTCCAATACGCCGAAGTCAAAGGTGAAGCTTTTAGTGTCAAATCCTACAATAGTGAAAGTAGAATGCAAAGATTGAGTATAAGGTCTAGGGAAGCATAGAGCGAGAAGAGCAGCGAAAAGGAAATTGAGGGTACGGAACTTGTAATTAAGAATACGGAGAAGCCTTGAGAAGGTAGAGATCAAGATGTGCTCCGGCCGGTATCCGGCGGCTTCAGGCCATTCCGACGACCGAACCGACGGATATTTTGTTTTATCCGCACCGATCGGTTTTTTTCCAGAAACCCCTCGTCCGACACTCGAGCCGATACACCGGATACGCCGGATTTCCGCCGGATAGCCGGAGTATCCGGTGTATATCCGGCGTTATTTTCTCCTCCCCTCATTCCGAATACCGAACCGGCCGGATTACCCGGCCACCGGACAATCTTGAAGGCCTTTCCGGCATCCGGATCCGACGGAGCATCCGACGGATATCCGGCTAGAACCCGGGTCCGGGTCTCATCTTGAGGTAGAGACAAAAAGGAACTCGCTGGCAGAACCTTAAAGGATTCGCGGCAATACTTGCAGAGGACTGAACAGATACGAATTAAAATAGTGAACAAGAATGACATGAGAGATCTCAACAGCCAAATACTGTATCTGATTAAAGTTCATGACAGATCACCGTATTCCGGTAGATCCTTTGACCCAATTGGGATAGATCCCTCCGCGAGTGGCATTTACCCGTACGCTCCAAATACATACTCGTCCCCTGACGGGGTGGCTCTCCGCAGGCTCCGGACGTCATGTCCCGAGTATTGGTAGCAGAGATCCACCCTAGCCAGGCAGTCTACGGCCCCAGGGCCACCCCCACACACGCTAAGAGCATCCGCAATTGTCGGGTTAAGTCGCAAGAATAGCTAAGTATTTAACTTACCGATCTCAAAATTTGCACAATGGTCAAATTTCAACCGATCGTTAGTTAGCTTTTCGACAAAAAATCGGTAGGCTGGGACAAAGTTATCCCAGCCTACCGACGCGGTAGCTAACTCCGTGCCCTCAAATTTTGAAAACACAACACCCACCACACTACACTTCCACACATCAAGTCACTCACCAACCCTACACGACTTCACCAATATACCTCGATCCCGACTTGAAGCTTTGCTACCTCTTTGTCCACGACTCCCACTTCAAGTTTCACCTCAGTTTCATTTTTCTTTTTGCATCGATCTCAATCAATTAGTTGCATGTTATCTTAGATGATAATAGAGTTGTTCAAAAAAACATGCTCATGATGGAATTGATTGAGTAATGGATGTGTGGGATCGAAATTAGAAGATGGTAATTGATCAAAAGGGAAAGATCGAGCTCACATTGATGGATGATATACAAACACAGGAGCACTTGTAAAGAATAAATATGTGATGAAAAGTTATAAAAGGGGCCTCTGATGAAAACAAAACAGTTGATCAGATGCGAAGTCAAACATTTTTGAGAACACAGACAATCAGAAAGGACCAATTGGGTTGGCTTCAAAAGTGAGGACAGCTTAGCTCCAAGCTAGAGCTGACGACTGTAGGCCCAGTCTTTAACTTGGAGTTTAGCTTTCTTTAACTTGGAGTTAAAGACAGCCACTGTGGAATTTTGTGTCAGATTACTTAGCTCCGGCTAAAGATCTTTAACCTAAAGTTAACTAACTCCAGATTTAACGCAAACGGTTGCGGATGCTCTAAGACCTCTTACGTAAGAGGCCTTAGCACAAATAGACTTAATGCGCTTAGGGTTGCTTCCTTGTATGAGCGTGATGAAACAACAACTCTGAATGAAAGATAACACAACATCAAATGATCTGATGAATGTACAGAGAGGATAATGGAACGACAGAGTGAAGGTTAAGAA